CTGCTCCCCGACACCCGGCTGATTCGTCAACCCTTCTACCGAATCAGCCCGAGCAAGAAGGAAGTCATGCGTGCTGAGGTGCAGTACCTCTTGGACCATGGACTGGCTACACCTTGTGAGTCCCCCTGGGCTTCACCTTGTATCTTGGTGCCCAAACCCCAAGGTAAGGTGCGGTTATGCACTGACTATCGCAAACTGAACAATGTCACTGTCAAGGATGCTTACCCCTTGCCAAGGATAGATGACATCCTTGATGCCATTGGTAGTGCCCAGTACTTGTCCCAAGTGGACTTGCTTAAGGGGTGCTATCAAGTGTGTCTAACGGAGCGCGCTAAAGAGATATCTGCCTTCATCACTCCTTTTGGACTTTTCAGATATGAACGCCTTCCTTTCGGACTATGTAATGCCCCGGCCACCTTTCAAAGAGCTGTCAACCGTGTCATCCAGGGCTTGGATAACACATACGCCTACCTGGACGATATCGTCGTAGCCTCCAACACCTGGAGTGAACATCTGCTCCAGCTGCGACGTCTGTTCTCCAAGCTCCTGACAGCCGGCCTCACCATCAACCTGGGCAAGTCCACTTTCGCGAAAGGTAAAGTGCGTTATCTGGGTCATGTTATTGGGAGTGGCAGCATAGCTCCGTTAGACTCACACACTCAAGCCATCCAACAGTATCCACAGCCTACCACCAGGAAGCAGCTCCTGCGCTTCCTTGGTCTTGCCTCTTACTACCGTAGGTTTGTGAGGAATTTCAGTACAGTCGCCACACCTCTAATTCTATTAACCAGTCCCAAGCAACGGTATAATTGGACCATGCAGCAAACCGTTGCTTTCGAACAACTCAAATTCCTTCTCTGTTCTAACCCCATTCTCGCCTCTCCAGATATCACCAAGCCTTTCGTCCTTCATGTCGACGCCAGTGGTACCGGCGTTGGTGGTGTCCTGATGCAACAACGAGGCGAGGAGGTTCTACCTGTCAGCTACTACAGCTACAAACTGAAACCACACCAGAGGAACTACAGCACCATTGAAAAGGAGCTACTATCCATCGTCCTGAACCTCCAACACTTCGCTCCGTACCTACAAGGCGCCAGGTCTACCACCATCTTCTCAGACCACAACCCTCTCCGCTTCCTACATCAAGCCCAATTCACCAACCAGCGTCTTCTACGATGGGCTCTGTATTTACAAGACTTCAACCTGGAGATCCGCTATATCAAGGGTTCTGACAACACCATAGCCGATGCCCTCTCCAGAGTTTATGAAGTAGAAGCGACTCCATCCATTACTCCACCACATAACGACGTACTTCTTCCAGAACCGCAGGCTTCGGGGGAGAGTTGTGACAATAATCTCCTTCAAGAGATTGAGCCTGCTCTTCCCTCTACAAATACGTCGCAACAAACTATATAAAACTACTAGGGAAGAAATGTCCAACAACGACAATAACACCAGCAAGGTTTGCCAGTGAGCAAAACGTATGCAGCCAGAGACACCTGTTCAGACTCAAACCGCCAAACTACCTGTTGATCGCTACCGGCTCCGCTGATTGGTCGCCGGCCGGGCTGCAACTGCACTCCACCCCCCCATACTACTTGATGTCTGGGGTCGCCACGACCTCAGACCTCAGAATATTCTGTTCTTCCGCGGTTACCACTCCTCCCGGCTAGACGTTAGCGTATACTGAGAGAGGTGGTAGCTTAAAGCCAATATTCCAGCACCTTACCTTTATTTTTGTATTGCACTTCTTGTTATTTTGCCTTAACGTAACTTTTCATTGTGTCATTTAATTATTCTTATTATTTTGATTGATTGATTTTATTATACGAATTTGTTTGTGTATTTTATTCATGTTTTATTTCTTTAACGTAATTAAAATTTCATTGTTAAAGTTTACTTGTGTTTTGTGTGTCTTCTCCTTACCTTACCACAGACGAAGTTCCAGTTTTTTCTATTTTTTTTTTATAACTATGTGACGAGGCCATACCCCTAGCCTTAAACAGCCGAACACCAACGCGTTACCGTCACAATATATATATATATATATATATATATATATATATATATATATATATATATATATTATTAAATATGACCGAAAAAGTAAGATTAATAATTCTAACACAAATTTTCTCGATCTTTCTTATGTTTCTTTTCACTGTTGATTGTAAATGAAAAATCAATTCTCCAAAATTCATTTTTATATCTAGTCTGACGCGACACTTGTGCGCGTTTCGTAAAACTTATTACATTTTCAAAGACTTTAGTTTACACACACACACAACTTATAACTGAATAGAGCTTAAACATCTTCGATTTTTTTATACCTGCATTTGGGTGAGGTGATATGTTACAACAGTTTTGGATTAGGTGAAAACAAACTTTCAACACAAGCCAAAACACGAAACAATGGGTATTGAAGGAAAGAATGGAAGTAATTGCAGAGGGCCTATTGGCCCATATTTCTTGATGCTTCTATATTGGAGTGGAGTCTTGAAGTGGGTAGAATATAGTTGTGCATTAATTGGCTGTTGATTGCTGGTGTTGACTTCTTGATGTGTAGTGCCTCGCAGAAGTCAAGCCGCCTGCTATCGCTGTATCTATCGATGATTTTTGTGTTGTTTGCTAACATTCATTCCCTGAGAAATATGCTCCTGCCTCTGAGGAAGGTGTTCCTCGTCCATGATTTTTTTTTTATATTGTGTGTTGTGGGTTGTTTCCATTTGTGTGCGTGGTTGTGGAGTGCGGGTAGAGTGTGTGTGTGTGTGTGGGTGGGGCAGATTATGTTTCCCGGTTCCTGCGTGCTCCGGTTTGTTTTTGTGGGTTTTATTTGTATGGCTTGTGTGTGTGTGTGTGTGTGTGTGTGTGTGTGTGTGTGTGTGTGTGTGTGTGTGTGTGTGTGTACGGTTCAGTGTGTGTGTCTGGTTGTGGATGTCATGTTTTTAATGTTCTGTTTTATTGTGGTTCTATGTTTTTATGGTGATGTTTGTGCGCTTGTTTGTGTGGTGTTGAGTGACCTTCAGACTGTTGGCGTGACCCGGCCTGGGAGACTGTTGGCGTGACCCGGCCTGGGAGACTGTTGGCGTGACCCGGCCTGGGTGTATGCTCTTTGTCTTGTTTTGCCATTGTTCTTTTCCTTTAGTTTGTTGTAAAATTATATTTCCTTTCTTGTTATTATTATTGTTAATATTGTTATTATCATTGTGTGTTGGTTCCTCTCCGTCTGTGTTTGAGGTGCTCGTAGGCTTATTCTCTGGAATTTTATTGTCATTTTTGTTTTGTTTTCCGCTGTGTTTATATTACTTGTTGTGTTTTGTTTGTAATTGTTTGTAATTTTTGTTGTTTTGTGGTCGGCCCTTCTGGCTGTATTTTTTTGTGTGTGTTTCATGATTTTGTGCCTTTGTACTTTTACAAGTTTGTGCTTTGTACTTTTGTTCTATGTAGTAATTTGTTTTGCTTTTATTGTACTTATCAGCATGCTTGCATGTAAAAAAAAAAAAAAAAACTTGGACGAGCTGAATATAAAACAACAACAACAACAATCCTCCAGATTACGGGCTATTCATGCTAGTGCCACCTCTCGGGTGGCTTAATCTTCATCAATCAATCAATCCTCTGGTATAGTCATCTACCACTTCTCTCTCAGCTTAGCTTTCAACTCCAATTGACTCTTTTTAAATCCTTGTGAGGCGCGATCACCAGGTCATCACTTAATCTTATCTTAAACGGCAACAACGTGGGATTAGACAAGCCTTAAACAGACTTCTGTGTCACTGCTCTTGTCTCATACACTTATGAAAACTTCTCTCTCAGTGCATACTTCATACCTATCTCTCACTGAATACTTCACTCTCACTGCAGTGAGAGCAGCGCCAGCGATTCCCAACAAAATTGTCCCTAAATATGCTAATATATAATATTATTAATTTATATAAATAATATTAATCTTGGCCAAAATTGGCTGCCCACCCACCCTACTTAGCATGATACAATCGTTCCACGAGGACATGAATGGGACAGTCACATACGACGGCTCAACTTCTGAACCATTCAACATCAACAGTGGTGTTAAACAGAGTTGTGTTCTTGCTCTAACCCTGTTCGGCATCATCATCTTCGCGATCCTCGTCATGCATGCCTTTGGAACAACCACAGAAGGCAATTATCTCTGTACAAGATCTGATGGAAAGCTCTATAATCTATCCAACTCCAAGCAAAGACAAAAGTACAGATGCGAATCCTCGGGTAGTTCCTCTTCGCCGACGACGCAGCGATCACCACACACACAGCAGAAGGCCTGCAGCAGCTCCTCAACCGCTTTGCCGCAGCCTGTTCCCCATTCAGCCTGACAATCAGCCTGAAGAAGACACAGGTGACGGGACAAGATGTCAGTGAGCTCGCTAATATAATATTTAATATTTGAGAAATATCAATATTATGAATGAACAACATGTTAACATTGATGAATACGTCTTCGGGGTCGACCGATGGATGGAATGGACTTGGTCTGAGGCCGGGTTAATAAAGGCTTCACCCACGTACTACGCATACAATAATAGCCAACAGAACCTAAAAATCAAACCTAACCTATGCCTAACTATACATAGAACTTTAATATATAAATGAAAACACACGTATTCTTAATACACAATATGTTAAAATTTAACACTGCGTCCTGGGGAAGGGAGGTGAGGCAGTGGCCACAGGTTAGTTCACCTTTCAGCAAATAGGTACTTGGGTTTTAGGCAGCTGTTGTGGGCGGCCTAACACCTGGGTATCTATGTTCACTCCCGGGTACCTATGTAACTATGTATTGTTCTGAGTGAGTGAGCGATGAAGTGTGTTCCAGCCAAGACTTATGGGAGAGGGTCAGTTGTCCGTGAGACATGATGGGGTGAGGACTCTCGCTCTCGCCCTCAACCACGCTTGTGTTACAATCTTCTTTTCCCTCTTTTATTAGTCGTCAGTTTCTGGAGAATTATTATTACCAGATTGTCATGGGTGAGAACGCGACGTCGAGCGGCACCTTGGTGTTTTTCGTGAATGGAAAGAAGGTAAGAGTTGCGGATGATCAAATCTTAGTAGTTCCTGTGATGGATTGAAGGGCTGGGAGGTTAGTGTAGCATTATTATCAAGATATGGGTACAACTTAACCCCCAGTCGTACATACCTTTCCTTGTACCAGAGGTACACGGAAAGGTACTGTGTAAGAGCAAGAGCTTAACTACTGCTGACCACAACAGCCTGGTCGTCCTCACGTGACAAACCACACTCGATTACCTTGAGCAGCTATATACACCTAGCTGTACAATTGCAGACTAGGATTCGCTGCCCAGTCGCCAGAGGGAGCAGTCACACGCCGGATGGCTGGTGGGGAGCTGGCGTTATGGCGGTGTTTGGTGCCCCACTTCGGCGCATTGACACTGTAGGGCTGGAATTCTCGGTGCTTGCAGACTGGGCGATTGTGGAGGTGGCGCTCTTGCACGCCCTTAATGTGGACGTTAACGATCTTCAGGGATTGGAGAAGGTGTCAAATCGGTGTGTGGCTGTGAAATTTGCCACGTCTCTTAAGTACCAGTATTTCGTACGTTCGATTCCTGATGCTGCTTTAACTGTTATGGTGTCGGATCAGTGAGTGCCACCGAAGTACGTGAGTGTTCATGGGGTGCCCTTGAATTTCCCTGAGCCTGTGCTGCGTGCCTGCTTTGCCAGGTTTGGTAGAGTTGTTTTACGTTGAATTAAGTTTATGTTTTGGGCGTTTTGCTGGGTTACAGCTTGGCGTTCGGACACTTGGCATGAATTTGACCAGTGCAAATCCGTCTCTGGTTAACTTCTACGGTTTCACCATGCAGGTGTTTTATCAAGACCAGCCCCGTACTTGTTTCCGGTATGGTGATTGAGGTCACGTCGTGGCTGGGTGCCGCACTGGTGCGGCTGTGGAATCTTCTGTGTTTTTTTGTTTTTTTTGGAGAGTGATTTTCCCCCCATTAGTGTGAGTGGGATTGAGCCTGAGATCCAGGGGCCTGTTAATGTACGTTGTAGTGAGGGTTGAGTGTGTGTGTATTCTTGTGTTGCTCCTGGTGTGTGTGTGTGCGCTTCTTTCCAGGTTCCTGCGTGATCTGGTGGGTGGAACTGTGTGTGCGTGTGTGTGGTGTTGGTCTCCATTTCTGACTCCTTCGTGAGCCTGTTTTTTTGTTTTTTTTTTGTGAGGGCAATGTGCGTTGAGCCCTGTGCAATTTGCCCTGTTACTGATCAATGTTCTGTATTTCCTTTCTCTTTCTGGATGTCTTTATGTACTTAGGTCTTTATGTTCATGTTATGTATCTGTTCTGGAGGGCTGGTTGTCCATTTGTATTTATGTATTTATGTATTTCTGTATTTCTGTTAATGTTTTGTGTGGTGTGTGGCTCACGTGCTTTTTCTTTCTTGTTTTCTGCGCCTTCTTTTCTCTTTGTTCTGGTGTGTCCGTGTATGGCTGGTCTTCTCCTCCTCCAAGGCTCTTGCTTGTGGCAGGTTTTGTTTACGCAGTGTGTGTGGGGGTCTGGCTGTATTGACAGGTTTGTGGTTGTTCCATTGTATTCGGTGCTTTCGCTGTGCCCGGTATGGGCATGGCTTTATACGTAATTTTATGTATGTTGTTTGCTTACTGATCATTTTTGTTCATGTTTTGAACTATATATTATGGCTCTGGATCCTTGTATGTATTTTTTCATTATTTGTCTCCTTTTGTCTTTGCTTGTTTTGCTTCGTTGATGGTGTTGGTTCGACGTTGCTCCAGGATACTGCGTCCACTAAAAGCAGTTTTGCCGTTACTTTGGAAATCATGAAACTTGTACCTAATAAACTTAACATGAGGCAGTTATTGTTTACTTTAACTTACCGACGTCATGCTGAATAACGTCAGAGCTCAAGTTGTTTACTTCTTTCTAAGACCTGTCAAGAGGTCTCATACTGTTGGTAACGTACTGTTGGTGACTCGTTAATCCAGCTGCTGCTCCCCCCCAGTTTATGAATGAAGCACGTTACACACACACAACCCATCCTCAGACCAATCCATTCCATCCAGCGGCCGAACCCCAAAACGCACTGCGTATTCAAAATTTGTATTTTCTTAAATAGAAGGAAATATTATTAAGTAAATGAATGAGTTGAATATTTAGGTGTAACTTAGGTTAGCTGGTTAGGTCCCGTTGGACATTATTGGTATTTGCAGTAGGTGGGTGAAGGATTTATCAACCCGTCCTCAGGTCAGGCTCTTTAGAGCTGCGGCCGCCGCTCCCCTATGACTTGTTTATCAATTTTAAGTCTGTATTAAAAACAGGTTTCTCATATACAAGTTAATATTATTGTATATTAAAGTTTAATGAATAGTTAGGTATAGGTTAAGTGTTTAGGTTCTTCTGGCAATTATTTGTATTTGAAGAACGTGGGCGAAGCATTTACAGAGCTACGATGCGATCAGAGGTCGTCAGCGAGGCCCCGTTCAAAAAATGTTCGAACGTAATCAGTTGGGAGTCGTCCTAATCAACAAAGACAAATGTCATCCCATGCAGCCGCCAACCCCCCCCCCCCCTCCCCCCCTGTTTGTGAATGGAAAACGGTTTATACACGACACACGACTGATTACCATCGATCATTTCTCCAACAGCGCTCTTCTGACGACCTCTGTTAGATTCGCAACGCTGTATAAATATCCAACAAAATCTACAGCTAACCTAACCAATGCCTAACAACAGGTATACATACAACTTTAATATATCTTTAATGTTACAGTCTTTTAATACACAGTATGTTAAAATTTATGAATGCGTCTTGGGGAAGGGGAGAGGGTACAGCCGCCGCTTTAACGAGCCTGGCGTGAGGGCAGGTTGGGATACCTAGTTTGCCTAGGAGCCACCGGAACACGTGACGCGATTTTATCCTATTTATCTTGACACTACCGTCAAGCATTCCAGGTCAACGGTCTGGATTCTTGCGACGCCTGCCGCACTTGTCGCCTGGGATCACAGGGAAGTCGATAGATTGTTTGATTTCCTCTTCGGGCCGGAGAGACGATGTCCAGCGCAGGCTTGGCCAAGCATTGGGATTGAACTCCTGGTGTGCCATAGGTGTGGGGCAGCGTCGGCCGGCTCGGGCTCTGCTGGAGGGCACTGGAGGTTGTTGTTTTGCATAGTTGCTGAGATGGGTACGTGCTTAGAAGTGGCCATGATTTTGTCTCTGGTAGGCTCCCCAAAAATGTTTTATCTAACAGTGTGTTTGCTGGCAGCCCATCCTCCTGTTTAGATAGTACATATTGTGACGATCGTCAATAGTCACGAATTCGTACGTACTTAGCTTTTATATAATTGTGTACTGACTAGTAAGAAATTCTTAAAAAAATTTAGCTAAAAAGAAACAAATATTCCCTGGCCTAGTATAGTACACACACATACGATATTAGGCCTTCAGGTATAGTGTATTGAGCCTAGGAAGGTTAGGTTAGGTTAGTCAAAGCAAAACAAATAAAAAAATAGTTCTTCGGTTTGTCCAACTCAATAGTTCAGATTCCTACTTTCTAAAATGTTTTACGTCGGAATATATGCTAAGGTCCTCATCGTTGCTATAAGTACTACCAAAACAGGAAGATGGGCTGATGAATTCGCTGCTAGGCGTGTTCGTTTCCCCCAACAGACGACGTTAATATAACCGTCACACCTGGTTACAGTATCTTGGTAACTCGCGTAGGAGCTTAACATGACCATTCTTGACACAGTACTTCAAATACAGACGACGATTCGCAATAACGTGGCGAGAGATATGATGAGCAAACCACACACCAGAAGATGAAGATACGACGACGTTGCGGTCCGTTCTGGATCCTTAGCAGGTCGTGTAACAATGGTCCAGGACGGACCGAAACGTCGTAATTTCTTAATTTTCAGCTTGTGTGGTTTGAACAGCACTTCAAAAAGTCCGAAGAATGCTCCAGAAGTTTGTGTGGACGGCTGTCATGGGTACCATGACCAACGCAACAAACGGAGCGGCGGCGGCGAAGGACTTCAGTGTGCAGGATGGACCACAATTAATGTAATTGAAGAACCTGGTCATATAAAGGGGTAGAATGTGTGAATGGGGAGGAGGGGAGTGTGTGTGTGGGGAGGAGGGAAGTGTGTGTGTGGGGAGGAGGGAAGTGTGTGTGTGGGGAGGAGGGAAGTGTGTGTGTGGGGAGGAGGGAGGATGGGGAAACCTCTACTTAGGTTTACCGATGGTCCCCCATCCCCCCCGCTCATTTTTCCCCTTAAGGTCATCTACTGACCCTCCCCAAGATGCAACCGCACAATAGTTGCCTAACTCCCGGATACCTATTTAGCTGCTAGGTGAAAAAATGTGCATCAGGTGAAAGGAAGCTTGCCCAACCGTTTTAGAACACACATGGTGAGCATTACCTGCTAGTTCCAGAGCTCCGTTAATAGACGGCGCATCGTGTATTAGATTTTCTACCTGTATTGGGATTATAATTAAACACTTTTTCATTATAATTACTGAAAAGGTATATAATTCTAATTTTAATATTGACTGGAACTCGAATACATAATGCGCCAACTATTAACCATATTTGTTACAAGTGTAGCTGGACTGAACTTCTCATCACTGTAAATCAAACTTACATTTATTGACATAAATTGAAATAACAACTTGAAAAAACATATAAATATATTTGTAAAACACTGCATAATGTAACATTAGAGATGAGACAGTGGCAAAACATGTACCGTTAATGTACATTGGTACAAAACATGTACCACACAAAAAAATGCATGTTTTGTATAAGACATACAATGTCCTCTTGACAGGCTTCATCACGTATGGGTGCAAGAGGATGTATGCTTGGGAAGATAACTGTGCTCTAAGGGGTAGTGGGGGAGGATATATCTGCATGGTTACTACTGTTTAGGTCCTCATTACATCCCTGATGGCCCTCCCCTCACCCATGCTGCGAATACTTGAGGGATTGTTCCAGTACTACCACCACTTGAGGTACACACTTGGATTGCTCCAGTACTACTACCACTTGAGGAATAGCTCCAGCACTGCTACCACCTGATGGATAGTTCCAGTGCTGCTACCTCTTAATGGCCCCTTAAGTGTGGAGTAACAATTATTGTACGTTTCAGGTGGAGGACTCCAGTGTGGACCCTGAGTGGACGCTTCTAAGTTACCTTCGCAACAAACGTATCCTTTGTTACAATGAAATGAAGAATAAAACTGTAAAATACAGCCAGGGGTGCCCGTGCTGGAAGATCCTCCAGCAGGAGTGGCCAGACACGGATATATAGGATGTCACTGATCACCCGGTTGGGGAAAGATCTGGTTACACCATAACCTCCTCACCAATCCTGGCTGGCCGCTTCTTGATACCTCCGCCCCGGGCAACGCGTCCTCAGTAATAGTATTAATTTAAACTGTTTAATCATGTGTACAAGAATGGGTTGTTGCAGCCAAAAATGTTTGCGTGTGATGCCGTTAGTTTGCAGAGGGCACGAACAAATATACCAAAATCAAACTTAAACATTTCTATGTCTAGTGTAATCCAATATATGTACTCAATTACACCTAAAATAGATTGTATTAAGAAAAGGTTTGTTGGACAGGTTAGGTTAGGGTCTTTGCTTTAATTTCCATTTTCTTAAGCTACATTTCGGGCTAATTCAACAACAGAAAACGTGAACTTTTGGGGTATAACGATGAATTTTTGCTCGTATGACCAAATAGTGGGTGTATGTACTATAATATAAAAGGAATGGCTGACTGAAAACTCTACATTCCCAGAATTCGATTCAATTATAATCTCGCTGCTATATTTTAAAAATTTATCGTCCTTCATGCAGCTATAAATTGTTCAGCTTAGAGATTGTTGTGGACAAGTTTCTTGAACCAATTGTGTTATAAAAGACATTGATATATATTTACATTCAACTGTGAAGCTAGCTTATAAAGATTGTTACTTACCTTAATAAATTTTGGAGCTCTGTTCCTTCTATTGCCACGGGACGGGTATGGGTCCACAACCACCCACAGGACGGGTATTCCGGGCCCACTGCCACCCATAGGATGGATATTGGGTACATAAGAAATATAAAAATCTATCGTAGTAATATATAGTTCATAAAGGCAAATGAGGGGGACCTTCGACAAGCTGCCGGTTTCCTATCCTCGTTGACAGGAAGAACTTGACGTCGACATGTTCAGAATGTGAGAGATGGGTACTAACACTTAGTTCCTGGAAGTCGTCAGAGGGCGACTGAGTCAGTGACTTTAAAGGACCCAGAATCTGTCAAATTGTAAGCCAATACTCACCTGCTGCCTTTTGGTAAACTACAAGACCCACACGAGCGAAGATAAACACGTGTACCGTAAAGTAATTGGCAGGCGAGGGCGGAAAGCCAGTAAGGATACATAGAACTTGTATGGAGGGCGGGATGTGAGGACATGGAGCTGGAATATGAAGTAAAGGAATAATGCGCAACCGCTTGCACCATCGTGGATCGATCACCGACCCTGCTGACTCAGGTTGAAAATTTGTGTTTCTCTTAGGCATATTTGTGTGTGTATATTTTCCTTGACGCAGGGAGAGTGCGGTTATGCGGCACGAAGCTTGGGTGCGGCGAGGGCGGCTGCGGCGCCTGCACCGTCATGATCTCCAGATACGACCGCACCAACGACAAGGTCATGTAAGTACATGTGACCTGACCCGGTCGTTGTGACCTTTGTTGCAGCACGAGTCCTGTTCCTGCAGCAAGTGACGTAACCTGACCCGGTCGTTGTGAACCTTGTGCAGCACGGGTCCTGTTCCTGCAGCAAGTGACGTAACCTGACCCGGTCGTTGTGAACCTTGTGCAGCACGGGTCCTGTTCCTGCAGCAAGTGACGTAACCTGACCCGGTCGTTGTGAACCTTGTGCAGCACGGGTCCTGTTCCTGCAGCAAGTGACGTAACCTGACCCGGTCGTTGTGAACCTTGTGCAGCACGGGTCCTGCTCCTGCAGCAAGTGACGTAACCTGACCCGGTCGTTGTGAACCTTGTGCAGCACGGGTCCTGCTCCTGCAGCAAGTGACGTAACCTGACCCGGTCGTTGTGAACCTTGTGCAGCACGGGTCCTGCTCCTGCAGCAAGTGACGTAACCTGACCCGGTCGTTGTGAACCTTGTGCAGCACGGGTCCTGCTCCTGCAGCAAGTGACGTAACCTGACCCGGTCGTTGTGAACCTTGTGCAGCACGGGTCCTGTTCCTGCAGCAAGTGACGTAACCTGACCCGGTCGTTGTGAACCTTGTGCAGCACGGGTCCTGTTCCTGCAGCAAGTGACGTAACCTGACCCGGTCGTTGTGAACCTTGTGCAGCACGGGTCCTGTTCCTGCAGCAAGTGACGTAACCTGACCCGGTCGTTGTGAACCTTGTGCAGCACGGGTCCTGTTCCTGCAGCAAGTGACGTAACCTGACCCGGTCGTTGTGAACCTTGTGCAGCACGGGTCCTGCTCCTGCAGCAAGTGACGTAACCTGACCCGGTCACTGTGAGCCTTGTGCAGCACGGGTCCTGCTCCTGCAGCAAGTGACGTAACCTGACCCGGTCGTTGTGAGCCTTGTGCAGCACGGGTCCTGCTCCTGCTGCAAGTGACGTAACCTGACCCGGTCACTGTGAGCCTTGTGCAGCACGGATCCTGCTCCTGCAGCGCTTTGCTTATGTTGTCACAAATCATTTTGTACCTCATATCATACACTTCAAGCCATCAGTTCTTCATATTTCATTGTATATCATTCACTTGTGCAGTGCATCTATAACATAATAGACAATAGCTATAACTATTCAATTTAGACGACTTAATATAACTTGTGTTAATTAGATCGTAAATGCTGTTAAACATGTTGTATAATTCCTGATATTATTTGTCAATTATTGTAATTTGGTAAAGAATCTAAATACCTTGAAGCTTCAGCAGATGAACAGGAATGTTGATCTGTGACCCACACAAGTATGTTAATTGCACTGTTTTCATATAGATTATTACGAAATTAGTTTAAACAAAGGAATAGTTTATAACAAGGTGTGTGTGTGGTGAGGCTGTGTATGTGATATGAGGCTGTGTGTGTGTGTGTGTGTGTGTGTGTGTGTGTGTATGATGTGAGGCTGTGTATGTGTGTGTGTGATGTGAGGCTGTGTATGTGTGTGTGTGATGTGAGGCTGTGTATGTGTGTGTGTGTGATGTGAGGCTGTGTATGTGTGTGTGTGATGTGAGGCTGTGTGTGTGTGTGTGATGTGAGGCTGTGTATGTGTGTGTGTGATGTGAGGCTGTGTGTGTGTGTGTGATGTGAGGCTGTGTATGTGTGTGTGTGATGTGAGGCTGTGTGTGTGTGTGTGATGTGAGGCTGTGTATGTGTGTGTATGATGTGAGGCTGTGTATGTGTGTGTGTGATGTGAGGCTGTATGTGTGTGTGTGATGTGAGGCTGTGTATGTGTGTGTATGATGTGAGGCTGTGTATGTGTGTGTGATGTGAGGCTGTGTGTGTGTGTGTGATGTGAGGCTGTGTATGTGTGTGTGTGATGTGAGGCTGTGTATGTGTGTGTATGATGTGAGGCTGTGTATGTGTGTGTGTGATGTGAGGCTGTGTGTGTGTGTGTGATGTGAGGCTGTGTATGTGTGTGTGTGATGTGAGGCTGTGTGTGTGTGTGTGATGTGAGGCTGTGTATGTGTGTGTATGATGTGAGGCTGTGTATGTGTGTGTGTGATGTGAGGCTGTGTATGTGTGTGTGTGATGTGAGGCTGTGTGTGTGTGTGTGTGATGTGAGGCTGTGTATGTGTGTGTGTGTGATGTACTCACCTAGTTGCACTCACCTAGTTGTTGTGAGGCTGTGTATGTGATGTCTCACCTAATTGTGCTTGCGGGAGTTGAGCTTTGGCTCTTTGGTCCCTCCTCTCAACTGACAATCAACTGGTGTACAGATTCCTGAGCCTACTGGGCTCTATCATATCTACATCTTAAACTGTGTATGGAACCAGCCTCCACCACATCACATCCTAGTAAATTCCATTTATTAACTACTCTGACACTGAAAAAAATCTTTCTAACATCTCTGTGATTCATCTGGGTACTAAGTTTCCACCTGTGTCCCCTTGTTCGTATTCCACCCTTGCTGAAGAGTTTGTCTTTGTCCACCCTGTCAATTCCCCTGAGAATTTTGTAGGTGGTTATCATGCCACCCCTTACTCTTCTGTTTTCCAGGGATGTGAAGCTCAGCTCCTTTAGCCTTTCCTCGTAGCTCATTCCTCTCAGTTCCGGGACGAGCCTGGTGGCATACCGCTGAATCTTCTCTAACTTTGTCTTGTTTAACTAGGTATGGACTACAGGCTGGAGCTGCATACTCCAGGATTAGTCTTACATAAGTGGTATACAAGGTCCTGAACGATTCCTTACACAAATTTCTACAGGCAGTTCTTATGTTGGCCAGTCTAGTATATGCCGCTGATGATATTCTTTTGATGTGGGCCTCTGGGGACAGGTTCGGTGTGATATCAACCCCCAGATCTTTCTCTCTGTTTGACTCTTGCAGGATTTCACCTCCCAGATGATACCTTGTATTCAGCCTTCTGCTTCCTTCGCCTAATTTCATTACCTTACACTTTCCTGAGTTGAACTTTAGCAGCCATTTTTTAGACCATTCCTACAGTTTGTCCAGGTCATCCTGTAGTCTCTGTCAATCTTCATCCGTTCTGATTCTTCTCATAATTTTTGTATCAGCAAACATTGAGAGGAAGGAGTCTATACCCTCCGGAAGATCGTTTACATATATTAGAAACAGGATGGGTCCAAGTACTGAGCCCTGTGGGACTACGCTGGTGACATCTTGCTACTCTGATGTCTCCCCCCCCCCTCACCGTTACTCGCTGTTTCCTGTTGCTTAAGTATTTCCTTATCCTCTGGAGCACCTTCCCTTTTACTCCTGCCTGTTGTTCCAACTTTTTTAACAGCCTTTTATGGGGTACTGTATCAAAGGCTTTCTGACAGTCCAAGAAAATGCAGTCGGCCCACCCTTCTCTTTTCTGCCTATTTTTTGTTGTCTGGTCATAGAATTCTATTAAACCTGTGAGGCCACCATAGAGAGTGGCACACTTAATGCTTCTGCATCTTCCTTTAGTATCCATGGTGAGATTCTATCAGGCCCAACAGCCTTTGTCACATCCAGCTCCAGCAGACACCTTTTGACCTCATCACTGGTGAGGTCAAATTCCTCCAAGGTTGCTTGGTTTGCCGCCTCCTCATTTAGTGCAGGGGCTTCTCCTTGTTCTATTGTGTCCTCCTGGAATCTCTTGTTGAGTTCTTCACACACCTCCTTGTCATTCTCTGCGTATCTGTTCTCCCCTTTTTGCAGTTTCATCACTTGTTCCTTCACTGCTGTTCTCCTCCTGATGTGGCTGTGAAGCAGCTTTGGTTGGGTCTTGGCTTTACTCGCGATGTCATTTTCAAACTGTCTCTCTGCTTCCCTCCTTACTCTGAGGTACTCATTTCTGGCCCTCTGGTATCTCTCCCTGCTCTCCGGTGTTCTGTTATTTCTGTAGTTTCTCCATGTTCTTTTACTCAGTTGCTTCGCTACCTTGCATTCCTAACTGAACCATGAGTTTTCTGTTTTTCGTTTTTCTCCTTTTGGACGGGGATAAACCTGTCTGCAGCTTCCTGGCACTTCTGGGTGACAAAATCCCTCATGTGCTGCACATTCTTGTCTCTAAGTTCTGTTTCCCATGGTATTCCTCTGAGGAAGTTCCTCATCTCATCACATTTTCCTCTTTGGTAATTTAGTCTTTTTCCCTCCAATCCCATCCTTGGGTAGGTTATCCCTACCTCCACCAAGTACTCAAAAGTCAGTACACTGTAGTCACTCATTCCTATGGGGGCTTCAACTTTGACTTCCCTTATTTCTGACTCATACAGGGTGAATATCAAATCGAATCTAGCTGGTTTTTCATTGCCTCTCATTCTTGTGGGTTCCCTGACATTCTGGCTCAGAAAGTTCCTTGTTGCTACTTCCAAGAGTTTAGCTCTCCACAAATCTGCACCACCATGTGGGTCCCCATTTTCCCAGTCAATCTTTCCATGGTTGAAATCGTCCATGATTAAGAGTCTTGAGCCATTCCTGCAGGCAACTGAAACTGCTGCTCTCTATTATATTAATGGTTGCCATGTTGTTCCTATCAAACTCCTGTCTAGGTCTTCTGTCATTTAGGGGAGGGTTGTAAATGACTACCACTATTATCTTAGGTCCACCCATTGTTATAGTTCCTGTTATGTAATCTCTGAATCAGTCACAGCCCGGAATTTTCATCTCATCAAAACTCCAGTCCTTCCTTATCAGCAGGGCCACTCCTCCACCTCCTCTCCCTTCCCTCTCTCTCCTTACTATATATTAGTCCTTTGGAAACACAGCATCTGTTATGACTCCTGACAATTTTGTTTCCGTGAGTCCTATTACATCAGGGTTTTCTTCTTGCGCCCTTTCTGCCAGTTCACTTGCTTTATTGGTAATCCCATCAATGTTTGAGTACATTACCTTGAAGCTCACTTTCTTATATCCAATTTCACCCTCACTCCCCCACAAGTGTAGGAAGTTGTTCCGTGGTCTTTGCTACTTGGGCAGGCTCATTCTCCTGTGAGGTAGTTGCCAGGGGTTCAGGGGGAGGTCTAGT